ACAACAAAATAAGTAAATATTGCATTAGAACTCAAAGTATAGAATAAATATCTTTGAGTCCACATTCAAGGATATGAGATAGAAAGAGATGATTGGGGGCGCCTGGGTGGCTCAGTGTCTGCCTTCGGCTCAGGTCAGGGTCCCAGGGTCCTAGAATCGATCTCCCGCATCAGGCTCCTTGCTCAGTAGGGAGCCTCTTTCTCCCTCTGCCTGCCACTTCCCCTGCTTGTGCTGTCTCCCTCTCTCTGTCAAATAAATAAATAAAATCTTTTTAAAAGAAGAAAGAAATGATTGACTAAATAAGTAAATGAGAGAGAAGAGATGAATCTCCCATGTAGAAGGTTGGTTTTATCCTCATGGTGTCACTTAACACTTTTCTTCATCCCCACTACTTACCAGTAAATAATAAACCAATAATTAGAACTTGATTCAGTTAATTTTGCAGGAATATTTCACAGGTGATGCTTTATACATACTATTGAGTTGTATCACAAATGGTCTCTCTTTTTCCATGATGTAGACGTTGGCATCATCATCCTGATGGATCCTTTGCAACGACTTTTGCTGAACAGTCTTAGCAGCCATTGATGACTATTGCCTAGATCCATTAACTTGTTTCATTCACATTTATTGGCAGAGATCTTTCTAAAACAGCTTTCCCACATCAACTATTTTCTTATTCTGAAAAACAGTTCATAAGAAAGGCAGGAAAAATGCTTGATTTTTTCCTCCTTTATTTACAGATAATGATTTTTGCTTTTCAGAAACTTCCAAATGTGGCCAATTAGTTGTCTGTTGTCTGTGCTGTGATTGCAACTATGTAGGGAAAATAAAAAGTGAAGGACCCTGACTTAGGCTTATAAAACACTGGTGGACTTTTTATCTTTAAAAGTGTTTATTTGTAATGTTATTAAGCAAGTCAATTCCAGAAGAGGGAAGTAGCAGAAGAGAATTCCATTTCCAGCAAGGGTGATTGTCACTGGCAGATTTAAGGCACAAACAAGACAGAAGAAAAAAAGAAAAAGCCAGGTGATACATACAGCAGAAGTGAATAAAAAAGAAGAGGGGAAACCAGAAAGAGGGAGGGGATGAACACTGGAGAGAGTATCATTAACAAATATTCTGCACTCTGGTAATGTTTAATTGCTGACCTAGACAATCTCTGTTTTGCCATCTCTTTCTTGAATTCCTTATGTAACCTGAAGGCTAACTCTAAATGAGCAGAATAAAATTGAATCCTCTTTCTTGACTTTTTTCTTTTACTTATATGATACATAAGATGATCTTCTAGACATGTAATTTTAAAACATGTGTTGGTCTGTTGTAATCTTTGTGCACCAACCATGAAATGGATTTGTCCTATATAAACTGAGATAAACATGTATTTGTTTATTCACTGAGAAATCCAATTCATGAGGAGTTTACATATGATTATATCTTTATAAGAAGAGATTAGAAAAGATAGAGAATATGATTACATTTGCCAAACTACACCATGACTCAGAAGCTAATTTGAAGGATTAGAAAAAGCAGAAGGAACTGTCTTGCTGTTCATTAAGTAATATACCTGTGGTCATTTTTTTAAAAATGATATGTTCATATATTATCAGTTGTGACTGTTACACCTTTGCCAATGAATTTTTTAAAGATATTTTATTTGAGAGAGAGAGAGAGTGCACACAAGCAGCAGGAGCAGCAGAGGGAGAGCGAGAAGCAGACTCCTTGCTGAGCAGGGAGCCCAATGCAGGGCTCGATCCCAGGATCCTGGGATCATGACCTGAGCCGAAGGCAGACACTTAATGGATGACTGAGCCATCCAGGCTCCTGAGCTCCTCTGTTCTTCTGTTCTTAATTCTCTTAACCTATTAATAAATGCTCTAACAGCTCATCTTTGAATTGACCCATGAATTATAGGCAAAAGGCTCTATCTAAAGATATATTCCATAGCTTTTATGTTTTTAGATGAGTATTTAAAATTGCCCCAAATGTTTAGCTCTTCAAGGAGAATACTGGAGGGGAAGGCAGAAAATGGAAAAGCGATTGACTGAAATCAGCTATGGATACTTAGTTCTTTATGTGTTTAAGGCATAGAGGAAATGTTTTTAGTCTAAAAAAATGTTCCCTGTTCTAAAGGAGCTTATAAACTGGATGGAAAGGCAAGAGAAGTGTGCATGGAAAAATTAAAATAGAACAACAAATATGAAATCAGTGTTACCAGTAATAAATGCTTTCAGAGAAGGATTTCAGGAAGCTTGGGTCGGCAGGGAGGCCTCCAGGCTGGGCCTTGCCTTGTGACTCAGAATTGAATTGGCACAGGCAGATGAGGTGATATCCTGGGAGAGAAAAGCCATGTGGGCAAAGGCACAGAGACAGGTAAGCACCACGTATGTTTGGGAGACTGGGGACATATAATTGGGTCAGAGCAGATGGTTTGTGGAGGTACATTAAGGCAGATGGATTTGATAGATTTAGAGTGCTGTTTAGGGCTCTGGAAGTTGGGGCTTTCCCCTGAAGACAGTAGATAGTCACTGAAGGTTTTTGAGATACAGATAATGGGATGAAAGCTGTCATTTGGGAAGAATGGACAAATAACTGTGTTCAGATGGACTGGCAGAGAGGGGACGAGAGGTAGGCAGACCATGGAGGTCCTGGGCTCGTGGACCAGAGAAGAGGCCAAGGAGCTGGCATTTTGAAAAGAGGCATGTTTTCTTTCACAGAACTTAAAACGTTTCCTGATGGTTTTCAGAGATATCATCAACACTTTCCACTGGGAACAAATGATTGGTGCTGGGATGTAATGGAATAGTACAAAATGAGTACCCATGTACGTAGGATACTCTCCCCACTCATATTTCATGTCCTTCTCATGTTTTCTTATGTTTACCCATCCGCTTCTCTCAATGAAGAAAGGGCAAGCACCACCTAACTTGTGTTCGAAGTAGATTAAGGATATTCCCAAAATTCAACCATTGGAATATAATTATGTAAACGTGTTTGGACAGAGTATAGGAAAGTGTCTTTAACCCCAAGTAATGAGAACATATTACTTTTTTTATATAAAAATGTCACAGGGCACCTCAGTGGCTGTTGGTTAAGCGTCTAACTTAGGCTCAGGTCATGATCTCAGGGTCATAGAATGGAGCCTCATGGCGGGCTCAGTGGGGAATCTGCTTGGGATTCTCTCTCCCTTTCCCTCTGCCCTCCCCCTGCTCACTCTCTCTTGCTCTCTCTCTCTCTCTCAAATAAATAAAATCTTTAAAAAATAAAAAAAAAATTTTAAATGTCACATGGGGTTGGGCAATCAGCATGGCACAGTGGAGAAAGACATTGGACCCTGGGAAGTTTATGAGCTTGGGCTCATGATGTTCCTTCCACCAAATGGCTCTAGGCCTTGGGGCAATTCATTTATCCTTTGTGGACAGTCTCACTTAAGGAGATTAAATTCTATAAATTCCAAGGCCCTTTTCAACTCTAACGTTCTATAATTATGTAAGTTAGATGTAACACCAAAAGAACATTTCATCAAATGCCTTTCTAATGCACTTTGAGTTGGACTCTCTGTTTGAGTTTCCTGGTGGCTATGACACCAGCGAATGACTCAGCTATGGATTTATCCATGATTAATTTGTGGGAAACTTGAGGTGGAGATTTTTTTAAAAATGCTGATTGTGTATCAAAGTTATTAGATCGTTCAGTATGTGAAATTATATTCCCCCCACCACATTGAATCACTATTAAAAATGGGTTAGCTTATAGATGTAGTAAATGGATAATATTCCTTCTGTGAAGTTTTCAGGGACTGCCCATGCAGGACAAGAAGTGAGGACAGTTCCCTATGTAGTACCACAAGCACCTTTGTAAAGCTGAGAGACAGTGTGGTGAATTGATAAAAGCATACATTCTGGGGGCACCTGGGTGGCTCGGTTGGTTAAATGTCCAACTCTTGATTTTGGCTCAAGTCATAATCTCAGGGTAATGAGATTGACTCCCGCATCAGGATCCATGCCCAGCGGGGACTCTGCTTGAGATTCTCTCTCTCTTTCTCCCTCTGCCCCTTCCCCTGTCCCCCCATGCTCTCTCCCTTTCTCTGAAATAAATCAATAAATCTTAAAAAAAAAAAAAAGCGTACATTCTGGCATCAGTTCAATTTGGGTTCAAATCCAAACTCTGCCACTTCATAGCTGTATGACCTTGGACTAGTTACTAAATAGCTTTGTGCTTCAATTTACCCATCTGTCTCATTGGGTTATGGGCATGAAGGGAGGTTGTTACATGTAAAGTATTTAAATTCCACTCACCACAAGTAAATTTGGTGAAGTAGTAGTATTATATTTGGTAAAGTATTATTATAATTATCATTATTAGACAAGGCAATATTTTATTTTATTTATTTATTTTTTAAGATTTTATTTATTTCAGAGAGAGAGAGTGCATGAGCTGGGGGGAAGGGACGAGGCAGAAGGTGGAAACAGACTCCCTGATGAGCAGGGAGCCCGACACAGGGCTCGACACAGGGCTCAATCCCAGGACCCCAGGATCATGACCTGAGCAGAAGGCAGACACTTAACTGACTGAGCCACCCAGGCATCCCAATATTTTATTTTTTATTTTTATTTTTCTCTAGTCAAAAACCTCTACTTTTTTTTTTTAAAGAATTGTATTTTAAAAATATTGCAATGAAAAAACACAGATCCAAATGTGCGATTTTAGAGAAAAATAAAACAGGTTTTTCCAATAAAGGGAAGAAATAATGAAATCATGTCCTGGTTACACGTTAACTACCACATTCTATACAATGTGGATGTGATCAACATGTATTCAATGATAGTATGAATAAACGTTTGAGATTTAAAAATCACATACCATTTGCCAATGCTGTAAACCCATAAATGTCGAAATAAATACCTAAAAATAAGTAAATTTTAAAAACTGAAGCTTCTGTTTATAGATCAACCCAAACGGTACGTGTAAATAGTACAGCCAATAATTTGACATTACTGTTAGTTTCCACCTAATTTCTTCATAATATGGCTGTCTGGTGTTGCATTAGTGAAGATACTTCCTACAACCACATGGGTACCCCAGAGCCTATGATGAATCACTTTACAGCAGCCAAGATCATCCACAGAGAATCCTAAATGTCGATAGCGTTCATCTGTTTCAAAAAGAGTGTTGTTTGTGTATGGTCCAAAAAATGCCAAACCAGATGATGGGTCAATAAAGTCAGCCCAATAGCCTTCAGCTCGAAGAGCATAGCAAATTTCCTTAGCACCATTAATGAACTTTTCTAAAAGCATTTCTCTTTCATTTTCTACCTCTTCGCTCCAAACAGTCATATCATTCTTAGTTTTCTATGTTATAGTCAGAATCATTAGTTTGTTGGTAGCTCCTTCTGGAAACAGTGACTCAAAATCTCTTCGCAGCAATTCTGGACATGTCTGGATTGCACACTCTACTTTGGCATTTTCAAAGTAAGTTTCCGCACTGCTGATTTCTTGTTCAACAGGTGCATTACTACCCTGAAATTCATTCACATACTGTGCCATCACAAACTCGTGTCTTTCACTTGATAAAGGTTCTGCTAGAACATCAGGTAAAGTTTTATGAACCTGGCTTTCCTTCTGTGATGTGGTCCCATTGAGATGACAGTCAAAACCTATGTTCCCAGGAAGCTGGAATCTCTGATCCTGAGGTCCAAATGGTCCCATGGTTTCATCAGGCCATACTGTTTGAGAGCATATATCTGGAGGTGCAGGGGCCACATGAGACTCATCAGAACCTGAAGATCCTGCAGTTGAAAAGGCTTTGGGATTGACAACCCTTTTAACTAAAGAGCAAAATCCCGGGAGATAGGAAACCAGTCTGGCTCTATTACAGAGCACAGTGGCCATTTCCAGAGGGGAGGGCAGATGCAAAATATCTTTCCTTTCGTAAAGTTATTCCGAGTGCTGTGGCACCAAGAAGACGGGCGAATTTGGAAGGGCTAACGCGGGCGGAAACCATCCATACCAGCCCCGCCGCCGTCTCGAGCGGTCACAGATGCTCACTTTCTACTTTTTTTTTTTAATCATGATAAGTATACTCTTTAATCCTCATCATCCTTTTTAGCCATCCCCCTCACCACCTGCCCTGTGGTAACCATCAGTTTGTTCTCTGTAGTTAAGAATCTGTTTCTTGGTTTCTCTCTCTCTCTTTTCCCTTTGCTTGTTTGTTTTGTTTCTTAAATTCCACATATGTGTGAGATAATATGATATTTGTCTTTCCCTGAATGACTTATTTCACTTTGCATTATACTCTCTAGCTCCATCCATGTTGTTGCAAATGGTATTATTTCATTCTTTTTTGTGCTCAGTAATCTTCTATTGTATATATATACCACATATTCTTTATCCATTCATCTATCGATGGACACTTGGACTGTTTCCCTAATTTGGCTATTTTTTTTTCATAAGGGACACATTTTATATACAAGGACACATTTGAACATAAAATGTTAGAAAAGATATACGATGCAAATAAGGAAGCTGGTGTGGTTATGTTGATACCAGATAATGTAGATGTCAAGACAAGAAGGATTACCAGAAATATAGAGGAGCATTATCATTATAAACAGATTTATTCATCAAGACAAAAAAATCCTACTGAGCATCTAATAATAGATCCTCAACATACTTGAAGCAAAAATAATAGAAATAAATAGAGAAATGTTGGACATTTTAACTCCACTCTCTTGGTAATTTACAGAACAAGTTAGACAAAAATGTGAGTAGGGATATAGAAGACTTTAATAATACTGTTAGTCACCCTAACTTAATTGTAGTGTTTTATATAAAATGCTACATCCAATTAATTTGGCTATTGTTGATAATGCTGCTGTAAACATTGGGGTGCATGTATCCTTTTGATTTAGTGTTTTTGTATTCTTGGAGTAAATACCCAGTAGTACAATTACTGGATTGAAGGGTGGCTCTATTTTTAATTTTTTGAGGAAACTTCACCCTGTCTTCCACAGTGGCCTGGTTTGCATTTCCACCAACAGTATGAGAGGGTTCCTTTTTCTCCACATCCTCACCAACACTTATTGTTCTTGAGTTTTTGATTTTAGCCATTCTGACAGGTGTGAGATTGTCATTCTGATTTGCATTTCCCTGATGATGAGTGATGTTAAGCGTCATTTCATGTGTGTTGGCCTCCTGTATGCCTTCTTTGGAGAAATGTCTGTTCATGTCTTCTTCCCAATTTTTATTTGGATTATTTGTTTTATGGGTGTTGAATTCTATCAGTTCTTTATATATGTTGAATACTAACCCTTTATTGGATATGTCATTTGCAAATCTTCCCCCATTCAGTAGGTTGCCTTTTAGTTTTGTTGTTTCCTTTGCTGTGCAGAAACTTTTTATTTTGATGTAATCCCAACAGTTTATATTTCCTTTTGTTTCCTTTGCCTCTGGAGGCACATCTAGAAAAATGTTGTTAGGGCTGATGTCAGAGAAATTACTGCCCGTGCTCTCTTTGAAGATTTTTTATGGTTTTAGGTCTCATATTTAGGTCTTTAAACTATTTTGAGTTCATTTCTGTGTATGGTGAAAGAAAGTGGTCCAGATTCATTCTTTTGCATAGAGCTGTCCAGTTTAGTTTTCCCAAGACCATTTGTTGAAGAGACTGTCTTTTCCCCATTTGATATCCCTTCCTCCTTTTTTGAAGATTAATTGATCATATAATTGTGAGTTTATTTCTGGGTTTTCTATTCTATCGATCTATGTGTCTATTTTTATGCCAGTACATACTGGCATTCATTTAAAATGTGTTTACTCGGAAAAAAAATAATAAATAACATGTGTTTACAGGGGAAAGTTCTTCTGTAATTCAAGGAACTAAAATTCCAAGTTCAGCTGAGGCAATGAGTCAGGGTTTCAAAGACTAGTCCTATTTAGCCTACTTTGTTTTAGATAACCAAATGAGGTGGTCTTCAACTCATAGTGAGTTACCTCAGGTTATCTCAGATTAAACTTCATTTATTTGAGTTTTAGAAAATTTAGAAAATTCCTAGCAAAAAAAAAAAACCTCTTTGTCACCCGCGTTGATCTGAGCTGCAACCAAATAATCAGGAAAGAAAAGAAGAAGGAGGGATATGGACAATGGGTCTTTTGTGGCCCCATCCTTCCCTCTGACTCTTACTCCTTTGGTGAATGGTTTTCTGCCCAAGTTCTATGGAAGTTTCTCTCTGTTCCGCAGCTGAAAAGGAACCATTTTTTATGTGGCTCATCAGAAATGGTGTGAAGGTTTTTTTTTTTTTTCTACCTGAAGGATCTCAAGCCATGAAAAGGTCTTTTCATTCTCCCTTCAGTTGATTCAGAGCAGGCACTGGACCGTTTGGAAGGGGTGTGCCAGGGCACCAGTTCTTTCCCCTTAGGGCAAGAGAAATGCCACAGAGTTCCTGTCCCAGTACAAAGGAGGAGGGCATAGCAATTTTCCCTGGCAGGGAGCCTGCCAGCAGCACAAGGGTGGCTAGGCCTGTGGCGCTAAGCTGGGATGTGACTGTCCACTGTGTGAGGCAAACTGTTGAAGGACATGGATGGTTTCCACTCCTGCTCGCACAGGTCTAGAAGATTTCAGATACCTCTTTATATGCTGGCCTCCCAGGCTAGATCTGCACACTGTGAAAGGATGCCTCAGTAATGAGGGTGCACAAGAATGAAAAAGAAGATGAGTGTGTATGTGTTTTCCTTTATGTGAAGAAGATTAGATCTAGCTTATCTCTCCTTCTAAGCCTAAATTCTAATTATGTTTGAAACCAAATAAAGCCAGTTGAATCTGTGGTTTTGTCTGAGGCTGATGACAGCTACAATCTCGAGACTGATGGACACGCTGAATTGTAAAATCTTGTGCTAAAGTAATTGCCATGTGAGACAATTCCTCAAGGTTTGGGTAGTGCCTCTCTGGAGTCTAAGGACCGTTCAGCATTTGGCAGAGTACAAATCAATGGCCACATCAAATGTATTTTCTACCCCAAACCTACCATTTTTATAGGACACATGTAACCTCCACATACCTTCTACTTTGAATACTGAATCACATTTTTCCTTTAGAACCTCTTGTGGCTGAGGAGAGCATGTCTTTGCCAGCTTACTGTTTATAGGGGGGCTTTTTCTAATCAGTATGTGCCTCCAATTAGACATCAACACATGACAAGAGAAACTTTGCCTGGCAATACTTGATGTTCAATAAATGTTTGAATGACTGAATGAACACAATTCCTCTGGGCTTTAACATCAAGAGCATATACTTGAATTGAAAATCATTTTCACCCATTAAACATGCGTATACTTCATGGTGTGTTTTTGTTTTGTTTTGTTTTGTTTTAAGATCTTATTTATTTGACAGAGAGAGACACAGCAAGAGAGGGAACACAAGCAGGGGGAGTAGAAGAGGGAGAAGCAGGCTTCCCGCAGAGCAGGGAGGCCAATGTGGGGCTCGATCCCAGGATCCTGGGATCATGACCTGAGCCGAAGGCAGACGCCTGATGACTGAGCCACTCAGGCGCCCCCTTCATGGTGTTTTATACCACGTTCACTCTCTTCTTCCCCTTTTCAAAAAGCAAGAAGGCAGCATAGAAGTTGCTATAACACGTTGTACAGATTTTACTTTGTTCTATGTGGATCTCATACTTTCTGCCCTTATAAGTTAGAAAGCATTTCTTTCAATCATTGGTGCATTTCTCACGTCCAGATCACCCCCTCCAGCTGGCCCCCCAACTCAGTGCAACTTCCTATATTTTGAGTAGGGCTGCTTATCCAAGTGACATTTGGGTGTAACTCAGTATATGGAAGGGGAAAACAATCTTACTCTTTGTCACCACTGTCCCTTCAAACACATTCCATGGACTATTTTTTTTTCACCCCCTGGATTTATCATTCACTCTTAGAAAATAAAAATAAACTTTATTTCAGTGATTAAGATGTGTAGCCCAAGGTAGTAACTAAAACTCTAAATTGCATTCACATGAACAGTCCCCCCCTTGCCCAGCCCTTGGGTGGGTTTTAGGTGGGCAGCCTGCAGGGAGGGAGAAGCACAGTCATTTCGGTTCTCTTCCTCCCCATCCCCGGTTTTGCCCACACTACTCACTCTTTGTGGGTTAGGCCCAGGGGGAGTGGGGATTTGGGGGGGGGAAGGGCACTTATATTGAAGGTGTTCTTTGGATTAAGTGTATATTTATAGCTGCTTCTTTCTCACCAGCTTTTGTGGTTTTCTCTGGGACTCTTCTGTTGGACATCTATCTTACTCTGATTCCCAGGATGGCCAATGCCTTGGCCTGACTATTTATAAATTGACCCTCAACCCTCGGGCATTGAGTCTACCCCACACCGGCCCTATTAGAGTCCATTGTCCCTCCTCCACAACCTCCTCCTTCTTGGGCAGTCTCTCTTAAAACTTCCTGGTCGGCTTTCTCCAGCAGGGCCCACATCTGTTCCATGGAAAATTCTTTCAGTTCTTCGGCCCTCATCATCAGATCACCAGAGTCTCAATGCTCCCCTCTTTCTCTTTGCCTCAGGCCAATACTCCTAGCCCCTTGCCTTTAGACTTCTCAAGCATGACTCAGACATTTGTCCTCTGTGTCCCCCAGCCTCCAAAGGACACACACAAAACTACATTTGTCCTCCTAAAGTTCTCTCACGAGGCTTGAGGGCAAGGGAAGCACCTGTGGTCTTTCTTCCATGGGGGAGAGTGAGGGTGGGGAAGAAACATCAGCCTTCTCCAAGTGTAATCTCTTTTAGTGCTTCTTTAACTTCCAAGATTTTTATACTGGCTTGGAAGCATCATCACCCTCTGCAAGTCCTTGCCTAGATGGTCTAGCGCCTTGCTCTGGAAGGTGCAGGAACTCGTATTTCTCATATTTTCAGGCTTGGCTGAAACTGAGCAGAAAGCATTCCATTTTAACATCCTGTTACATATGTCTAGTTAGATATTTTTACAATCCTTGCTCATTATCTTCTACTGTTTTGATTTGGAGAAATTCCGTAAAACAGTGATAGCAAATTCTTATGTAG